CACCACATAAGCAAAAAGAAAAAAGCTGGAAGTGGCACTGTGGCTCAAGTGGTAGAGCGCTAGCCTTGAGCTGAAAAGCTGAGGGACAGTGCCCAGGCCACGACTGGACCCAAAAAAAAAAAAAGCCAAAGTGAAGCTGTGGCTCAAGTGGTAGAGCACTAGTCTTGAGTACAAAAGCTCAGGGATAGTACCCAAGCCCTGAGTTCAAGTCCCAGGATTGGTGTGCATGCATGCATGCACGCACGTGCGTGCACACACACACACACACACACACACAAAACCAAATGAAAAAGCAATGGCTGTGAACCCCTCCACCCCCACTGTCACCACCGGCCTGGTGCCCACCTGAGCATAATGCCGTTCATCCGGATGGCTCTCTTCCAGTCCTTCAGGGTGGACTTCCCTGCCAGGTGCACAAACTCCTTCGGGCTGATTACATGCTCATCATACTGGAGAAAAGCACACCAGTGCAGGGTCAGCTTAGCAAACCTGGGGTGGGTCAGGTGGGATCACAGCATGCCCTCTCGCCCTTCCTGCCAGTGCCTTACCAGTTCATGGCTGGCTCAGCCAGCGACAGGCCTTACTGTAGAACACTCACATACAACAAGAAGATATCCCAGTGGACAGAGCAGGCACCAACTCTCTACCTGACACAGCCCCACAGCCCCACAAAGTGAACTCAGTGTACCAGTGGGAGGAGAAGGGGCTTCAGGGAGGAGCAGCTGTGGAGCAGAAAGCCGATGTGCACTGTTTCCTTCCAGATGAAACATACAACCTCCTCAGGTGCAACTTATTCCACTCAGTAGTACATGCCTCGACTACATCTAATATGTAATAGTAACCAACAGATCCAAGTATACCGACTGCTGTGAGTGGCCGGGCCTGCTCCTCATCTACACTATGACCGGCCCCTCCCCCTTATCGGCCAAGCCGTTCCTAGGGCCACAGACAGTACAGGAAGCACAGCGCCCATCTTAGATGATGCTCATACATTCATTTCAAAGCCAGAGTGGTACTTCTTTCTCCTAGCTGAGGAGGTTCTATAGATTGGTAGTTCTTTCTCCTAGCTGAGGAGGTTCTACATGTTGGTAGTTCTTTCTCCTAGCTAAGGACAGAAAGCTTACGCTTTCTGTGGTGGCTCATGCTTAGAATCCCAACTCTTTAGATCACAGTGCTAAGCCAGCCTAGGAAAGCTTGGTAAGATGCCATCTCAATCGGTAAGTGAGGCATGATGGCAGGCGCCTGTGAACCCACCTATGAGGGAGGCCTGAGGTAGAAGGATTTTGATATAAAGCTAGCTCTGGGCAAAAAGGTGAGACCTTACCTAAAAAAAAAAAAAAAAAAAAAACCAAAGGGGCTGGGAATGTGACTTAATGGTGGAGTGCTTAGCTACCATGCATGAAGTCCTGGGTTCGATTCCTCAGTACCACATAAACAGAAAAGGCTGCAAGTGGCGCTGTGGCTCAAGTGGTAGAGTGCTAGCCTTGAGCAAAAGAAGCTCAGGGACAGTGTTCAGGCCCTGAGTTCAAGCCCCAGGACTGGCAAAAACAAAAACAAAAACCAAGGACATCTGGGCTGTTTCCTTAACTTGGCTATTGTGAACATGGACGTACATGTGCCTTTACCATATTCTGACTTGTAATGATGGCTGGATCTTGGGAAGGTCTATGTTTATCTTTTTATTATTTAAAAAAAAATTTTTTTGTCAGTTATGGGGCTTGAACTCTGGGCCTGGGCGCTGTCTGTCCCTCAGCTCTTCAGCTCAAGGCGAGTGCTCTACCACTTGAGCCACTGTGCCACTTCCAGTTTTCTGAGTGGTTTATTGGAGATAAGAGTCTCATGGACTTTCCTTGCCAGGCTGGCTTCGAACCATGATCCTCAATCTCAGCCTCCTGAGCAGCTAAGATTACAGGCGTGAGCCACCAGCGCCCGGCTATGTTTAGTTTTTTGAGGCATCTCTAAGCCACCTTATAGAGTGGTTGAACTAGTTTACATTCTCACCAGCCGTACAGCTGGGGTGCCCTAGAACAGATGAGGGAATCATTAAAATGTGGTACATTTAACTAATCCATTAAAAAGAATAGGATTATGTAATTTGCAGGGAAATGGATGTACCTAGAACAAATCCTGCTGAGACAAGCCAAGCTCAGAGAGAAAAACGGCGCATGTTTTCTCTCTCATATGTAGAAGCTAGATCTAAAATCTAATTGGACATGATAACCTATATAGGACTCTAGGCATTCATATACACAGACAGACTAAAGGAGGAACACAAAAGTGTAACTTTTCTGAATGAACACTTAAAACTCCAAGAAATGGAAACATGGAGCCTGACATTGGTGGCTCACACCTGTAATCCTTGCTACTCAGGAGGCTGAGATCTGAGGATCGCAGTTCAAAGCCAACCTGGCAAGGAAAGTCCATGAGACTTATCTCCAATAAACCACTCAGAAAGCCAGAAGTGGCGCTGTGGCTCAAGTAGGAGAGCACTAGCCTTGAGCTGAACAGCTAAGGACAGCACCCAGGTCCAGAGTTCAAGCCCCACGACCGACAAAAAAAAAAAAAAAAGAAAGAAATGGAAACATGGTTTTTGTTGCTGTTGTTGTTGGTGGTGGTGGTGGTAGTGATGTTTGGTTTTGCTTGTGGATTTTTTTAGGGGAGGAGGAAAGGTGAACAAATGCAATCATGCTGTTCAGTATATACTATGAGGAAGATGAACTGCATGGGCTGGGAATGTGGCTTAGTGGTAGAGTGCTTGCCTAGCATGCATAAAGCCCTGGGCTTGATTACTCAGTACCACAAAAACAGAAAAAGTCGGAAGTGCCGCTGTGGCTCAATTGATAGAGCGCTAGGTTTGAGTACAGAGAAGTTCAGGGGCAGAGCCCAGACCCCGAGTTCAAGCCCCAGGACTGGCAAAAAAAAGAAAAAAGAAAAAAAAGAAGAAACTGAACTATGTAACTTGTGGGGAGGAATAGGAGGGAAAAATTGGGAGGAAGAGAAAGAAGGGGTGATATTTTCCAAAAAATGAAATATATTCATTATCTGACTTATGAAATGGTAACCCCTCTGCACAACACCTTAACAATAAGAATAAAATTACATTTTAAAAATAATAACCAAAGGAAAAAGAAGCTGAGTATGGCTCAAGTGCTAGAACACCTGCCTAGCAGGTATGAATGAGACCCTAAGGCCAAACCTCAGTAACACCAGAAAACAAAACAAAACAAAACCAAGAAAGGTAAAATATTCTATTCAATCTTGTATTTTAAAAAAGAAAGAAAGAAAAAGAGTTGGGTGTCAATGACTCACACCTATAATCCTAGCTATGCAGAGGGTTGAGATCTGAGGATCTCAGTTCAAAGCCAGTCTGGGCAAAAAAGTCTATGGAGACTATAATCTCCATTAAACTACCAAAAAAGACAAAGTGGAGCTGTGGCTCAAGAGAGGTAAGTTGCTGGCCCCTGGGGGCTACCACCTACTGAGCCACAACTCTACTTCCAGCTTTTTGGTGGTTAATTGGAGATAAGAGTCTCACAGATTTTCCTACCAGGGCTGGCTTCAAACCACGATCTTCAGAGCTCAGCTTCCTGAGTAGCTGGGGTGACAGGCGTGAGCCACCAGCATCCAGCCACTTAGGAATTTTTTTTTGGTTTTTCTTTGTCAGTTGTGGGGCTTGAGCTCAGGGCCTGAGCACTGTCCCTGAGCTTCTTTTGCTCAAGGCTAGTTCTCTACCATTTTGAGGTACAGTGCCACTTTCAGTTTTTTAGTGGTTAATTGGAGAGAAATCATTCATGGACTTTCTTGCTGGGGCTGGCCTTGAACTGCAATCCTCAGATCTCAGCCTCCTCACTAGCTAGGATTACAGGTATGAACCACCAGCACCCAGCCATCTGGGCATTTTTGAAGCCCAATGTCTCTCACTGTGTGTCTGAGGTAGTCTTAGTAATCGGGTAATGCAGTGAATTTTTAACAGAACACCCAGTAACTCCTGCCTGTCTATTCTATCAATACAGCACTGTCCAATACTGAGAATGTAGATATTCACCACCTGGGCAGGAAGGCATCTTGCCAGCTTCCCCACCAGTGCCTTCTCTCTGAATTACTATGTAATCTGTGAGGGATACTCTCAGACTACCCCCCACCCCCACCTTACCTCAATATCGTTTGAGCATCCACTGAGGAGTCTTGGCCCACTGCTCCTTCCACATTTGTTACCTGGTATTCTCACATCACGTGAGTGCTTTACCTTTCCCTGAGTGTGCACTTATTATATCTAAGGACATTTAATGTAAAAATAAATGGCATGAAAAGCACAATATATGCATGTCTGAAATATCATGGAGAAACTCCTTGGTGTAATCAGTACACATTAAAAAAAATTTTTTTTTTGGGGTCCAGTCGTGGGCCTGAACTCTGGGCCTGGGCGCTGTCCCTCAGCTCTTCAGCTCAAGGCTAGCGCTCTACCACTGAGCCACCTTCCCAGCCCTAAAAATTTTTTTTTAAAGAGTACAAGAAAGTAAAGCAGGCTTTACTTTCCCTCCACTGAGGGAAAGTGGTCTGGTACCAGCAGGAAAGGGGTGACCAAACAAGGGGGGAGTAATTGAGTATGAAGCAATGAAACAGGGAGAAAAGAGTAGGAAAAAGTGACAGAGGAGGGAGACTGATTGGGATACCCTTATCCAAGTGTAGAAATGTCATGATGAATACCCTCCTTACACATGTGCAGAAATGTCATGATGAATACCCTCCTTGCACAACTAACATATGTTAACAAAGATTAACTGGCCTAAAACATACCATAATAAATATGAACTCAGATTTTTCTCCTAATCAAGTTATAATCCATGACTACTGTTTCATTTCCTCTTGTGAGGCTTGGGATTGAATCCAGGACCTTACATTTGCTAGGCAAGTGTCCCATGTCAATGAGCTATAGTCTCCGCCTACTGTTACTTATTTTAATCTCAAACTGTACCAGCTGGAAGCTGTAAAGTCTATTAGCTCAGTATGGAATCTGTCATGAACAAAGAGTGGACTTGGTCCTCCCTCCTGAAGTCTTCAATCTCTCTTTTTTTTTTTTTCCTGTCGGTCGTGGGGCTTGAACTCTGGGCCTGAGTGCTGTCCCTGTGCTCTTCAGCTCAAGACGAGCACTATCACTTGAGCCACAGCACCACTTCCAGTTTTCTGAGTGGTTTATTGGATATATGAGTCTCATGGACTTTCCTGCCTGAGCTGGCTTTGAACTGAGATCCTCAGACCTCAGCCTTCTGAGTCACTAGGATTACAGGCGTGAGCCACCAGCGCCTGGCTTCAACCTCTTTCTTTACAAAAAGATATTGCCTGTTTCTATTTGCCACCTTCCTGCATCTGTGGACTGTATTCTAGATGGCTTCTTTGGGCCTATTCTCCAGCTCACTAAATATCTCTTCAGCTATGTCAAGTCTTTGAAACTTTCCCTCTAAGTATTTAATTCTAATTCTATTCTTCATTTTGAGCTTTTGAGTTTTGTAAAACCTATATGCTTTACTTGTGTTCAGAATTTTATTCCTTAAGCTTAAACTTTTAAATATTCTGTTTCTTAAATCCTGATGCCTGGGGCTGGAGCATAGCTCAGTGGTAGGCACTTGCCCAGCATGTGTGAGGTAGAAGGTTTGATCTTCAGCACTGCAAGGGAAAAAAAATCTGACGTCCAAAGTTTCTGTGGGTCTGATTCCACTGCACACTGCTTCCACACACGCTCAAGCTAGGAACCGTGCTTCCTTTAGTGCAGCCCATGTTTGTCTGTTTCCAGTGGTACTGGAGGCTAAACTTGGAACCTTACCCTTGCCACTAAAGCCACATTTCTAGCCCTTCTTACTTTAGTGTTTTCAGTTAAGGTCTCATCTCTCTGCTTGGAACTAGCCTCAGACCTCAATCCTTCCACCTCTGCTACCCAAGGAGCCGAAACTAGAGGCGTGTACCTGCACCCGTATCTAGACAAGTACTTGTGTGTGTTTATTTCCCTGTTAGCTGTTTCTTTTCTTAGATTTTCCCAGAAATCATTTAAATCAGAGAAAAGAATTGCTCCAACGAGGATTTTCATTTGCTTCTGTCCAATGGTGAGGGAAATGCCAGCCAGCTTTCCTCTGCTGGTGGTTCTGACCCTGGCTGCTGTGAGTGCTGCGGAAGACGGCTGCCTTCAAAGGGCGGCAGGAATGCCGCTGCTTAGGGCAGGGTGAGGAGGGAAGATGTCACCGCTTTTATTTGGTGGCCCACACATGTCCTTGGGAAACCGAGCTCCATCTTCTCATCCCCAACCCACAAGGTTCTCATGTAAGAGCTAGACCTAGCACCCTGCTTCCCTGCGCCACTCTGCCCTCACTTGCCCAGGGCCTTTTCTTAGGATCTGGAAGATGCTTTACAAAAATTCCTTCATGGGACTTTTTACCTGTTTGCAACAAAATGGTGAGTCCAAGTGACTAATCACCATGTTGCCCTTTCCATTCAGCTTCCCCCAGACCTCAGTCTGCCAAATGGTGCCGCTTTCAAGTCAAGAGGCCACAGCTTCCACCCCACGGGAAGTACTGCCTCCCCTTGGTTCTCACCGCTTCAATCTACTGAATAAGAATCACTGCGAGGTGCCAGTGGCTCTCGCCTGTCATCCTAGTTACTCAGGAGGCTGAGATCTGAGGATCACAGTATGAAGCCAGCCTGGGCCGCAATAAAACTACTCAGAAAAAGCCAGAAGTAGCATTGTGTGCTCAACTGGTAGAGTGCTAGCCTTGAACAAAGGAAGCTCAGAGACAGTGTCCAGGCTCTGAGTTCAAGCCCCAGGACTGGCCAAAAATAAAAAGAATGACTCCCACTAGAATCTCTTCATTGCTGTTCCCCATCTGTCCCAGGGGATTCTAATTCCTGGAATTCCAGTACAAGACAGGCTCCCACCAACAGACATGCAGACCCTTACCTGAACACATTTCACATTGATGCCAGGACAGACAAACTTTCTCCAGATCAGGTTAGCTCTGCTATCTCCACAGGTGATGGGGTACACAATTTCAGCCTCCAAGTTCTCCCCCTCTTCAGCCATCTTCACTTCTCACGAGCGAATTGACAAGAAAGGACAGAAACAGAAAATCAGTTACAATCTTTCCAAAGAGTTTTGTGCCAATACAGAAAGTAGTTGCTAACATGGGAGCCAAAACTAAGATCCAGGAAGTTTAGAAACAGAGTCATGGTGGGGAGGGGTTCCCAAGAGTCCCAGTCAGAGTTTCAGGCAAATGTACAGAATAGATTTAGCTGTTAGAGTAACAAATGACAGACATTGACTAATTCCATGGAACTACTGGTCAGCTAAGGACATAAAATAAAATTAAGTTTTGGTAGTAAAATTGGGTCTCAGGACCCAAGGACCTTTAATCTGGGCAGAATCCCACAGGTGTTGAAAGAACCCCTGGTATCATTCACTGATGCCACAGCAAATAGACAGGGGTGGCGACAAAACAACAAACCTAAAAGGAGGGAAAGCCAGAAGATTGGGGTGAGCCTCCTTCGTCTTTCCTACCCATCTGGTTGTCACCAGACTACATGCCCCACCTGGAAAGACCCACCTGCCCTCCACACGCTGGGGAACAGGGCAAGAGAAGCCTTGTTGGTTTTGGCTGCTACATATCACAATAACAGGATTGTTCTGGTCCTCTAGCCACAAAGCACACAGAAGACAGGCTTCCCGCCTAACATGGCTTCCTACCTAATACCGCTTCCTTGAGCTGCGAGGTGGCTGTGAAGGCTGCTGCAGCTGCAGCTGCTGCATTCTCTGTCTCCATGTTATCTTCTGTCAGGTCCCCCCTAATAAACAGTGAGCAGAAAAGAGACCATCAGGACCCCTGAGTACCCTTCCTGCAGCCGGTGGCACATTTAGAGTACTTGTGTTAGGTCATATCTCATTGGAAACATTTTTTTTTATACTTTTCTAACCTTATCCAAAATTGTAGATACAGAGCCAAGGGATGATGTGCAGACCGTGCCATCTGGCTCTGTTCTCTGTTCCATGCTTGGCTGTCCCTAGTGCCCAGGTAAGTGAAACGAGCCTTAAGAGATTAATGGAAGCCAGGTGCTGGTGGCTCACGCCTGTAATCCTAGCTACTCAGGCAGCTGAGATCTGAAGATCTCGGTTCAAAGCCAACCCAGGCCGGAAAGTCCGTGAGACTCTTATCTTCAATAAGCCACTGGAAAACCGGAAGTGGTGCTGTGGCTCAAGTGGTAGAGCACTTGCCTTGAGCTGAAGAGCACAGGGACAGCACCCAAGCCCAGAGTTCAAGCCCCATGACAGACAAAAAAAAAGAGAGATTAATGGAAGCAACAAATCCTTTCATGGGAATTCTAAAACACTGTTTCTTTCTTCAGCAAAGTTTTTATATTCAGTAGAATGACTTCATATTGCTATACAAACTATCAGAAAACTTTTATTTTTGCATCACTGAAGCATAAACCTAGAACTTTGCATATGCTAGGTAAGCTCTCCACTGAGCCACTTCCTCAGATTGAAAAATTTTTGAAAGAGTAAAATATTCACCATGGCCTTATACCAAAATCAATGATGGCTAAACCAAAAGTAAAGGAAAATGTAAAACCATAAAAGTAGTAAAAGAAAAAAAAGTATTATTTCATCAATTATAAAGTAGTAAAGGATTTTTTATATGATTCAAAAAGGATGTTTTGACTTAAAATATTAACTTTCAAAAAGAAAAATACCATAAATATATATATTTTTTGGTAGTATTGGGGTTTGAACTCAGGATTTCATGCTTGCTTGGCAGATGCTCTACTGCTAAGCCAACATCCAGTCCTTTTTTTGTACTAATTATTATCATTGTTATTTATTTATTTTTGGGTCTGGTCATGGGGCCTGAACTCTGGGCCTGGGCGCTGTCCCTCAGCTCTTCAGCTCAAGGCTAGCGCTCTACCTCTTGAGCCACAGCTCCACTTCCGGCTTTTTTCTTTTTGCTTATGTGGTGCTGAGGAATCGAACCCAGGGCCTCAGGCATGCAAGGCAAGCGCTCTACCACTGAGCCACCTT